TTTTCTTTTGATTCTTTTTATTTTTATCATATTCTTTCTAGTTTAATGTTCCCTACCTTAACTAAATTTGTACATTTTCCTTTTTTATATAGTATATTTCATTGTGAAATGTCTGTCCTAATTAGGAACATGGTTGTGAAACATCTACTCCTAATTAGAAAAGAGGTTGATTATAAAATGAATTCATTCAATTTCAATTGACAAATTTTGAAAGCTGAAAATTTTTGTGAAGAATATGCAGTTCTAATTATGCATGATGTTGATCTAAAATAAATTCATTCAATTTTGATTTACGAATTTGAGACTAAAACTTTCCTGTGGTTGGAGGCAGCTGATTTTTGCGATGTAAAATTTGTTGGCTTTATTGTGAAATATGCACTCCTAATTAGACATGAAGTTGATTCTTAAAAGAATTCATTCAATTTCAATTGACAAATTTTGAGGTTAAAAATTTTTTGTAAAGAATGTTATGATAAAATTTTTTTTTTAAAAAATATATAGGTCTGCCAAAACTGAATTCGAAGATTGAAATTGAACTTTGACAAGGTTAGGTTGTGAAACATGCACTCCTAATTAGGAATGAAGTTGATTCATTCAATTTTAATTTACGAATTTGAGACTAAAAAATTTCCTATAGTTGGAGTAAGCAAATTTTTGAGGCGTAAAATTCTTTGGCTTGCTTGTGAAACATGCACACTTAATTAGGCACGAAGTTGATTCTTAAAAGAATTAATTCAATTTCAATTGACAAAATTTGAGAGCTAACAAGTTTTTGTGATGAATATGTTATAGGATTCTTCGGCTAGATTGTGAAACATGCAGGCATCCATTATATTATATATATGGTGAAAATTTCTCTGCAATAAAGAATAACACTAGGTTGTAATCAAATTCATTGTTACCAAATACCTGCGTAATTCAAATTCGATCGTGACTTCGCGGCCCTGTGGGTAGAGATGTGATCTGTAAACTAGTAGTTAATATAAATAAACTGTAGTTTATTGTAAAACTGTAGTTAACTGTAGTTTTAAAATAAACTACAGTTTATTTATACGTATTGTATTTCACAGTTCGCATCTCTACCTGTGGTCCTCAAAAACACATGACCTGAAAGATGAATCAAAATATTATTCAAAGTCAAGGACACTTATCGAAGTCCCAGACGCAAATCCGCAAGACCTAAAGTCTCCATACATTCGCAGTGCTCTACAAAAAAGAACTTAACGTAATGGTAACACAAATCTTTCATAATCACATGATGTTTAATTTATCAAAGAAAGCTTTGACAATTCTAAAACAATACATGGTTCTCTGTATTAATTTTGGTGACAAATAATATAGAATTCTTTAATTTTAATTATCACTGAAAATAGAATTATTTGTCACCAAAATTAGAATTTATATAGATAAAACTTAATCTAACATATAATATTACAAGTTAATTGTAAAAACACCTTTTTTAACATATTACTAATTCTACATATATACAGTATACTATATCATTACTTAAATTATACTACCCATCAACTTCCATTTCTTGTTTAATATTCTGTACGTAATTATAAAAATGATATAGTATTCTTTATTGCTAAAATAAAGAAATGATGTTTAAGCTTCTAATTAAATCCAAGTTATTATAACTATGCGTAGGATTTTATTTATAAAATCAAAATTTTATTAATATACGAAATAAAAGAAGTATAAGAAAATAGTTCATTTGTCTTTACAAGCAAATATAGAACAAAAAAGAAAGTTACTAAACGTAAGCGTAATTCATATTCTATTCTTTAATATTTTATTATGTAGTGACAAATGAAATTAAATGTTACAATATATATAGATGCTAAAGCTAGATTGATTGTAACATCCAGTCAAATCATGAAGTAATATGATATATAAATGAATGTGGAGTATATCATTATAATGTAGAATAGATCACTGGTAATATACAAAAAAAGTAAAAAGAAGACAAATGAAATGAGAGAACATTTGCAACCAAAGAACACAAAAGTACAATGAAATATACTATATAAAAAAGGGAAATGTACAAATTTAGTTAAGGTAGGGAACATTAAACTAGAAAGAATATGATAAAAATAAAAAGAATCAAAAGAAAATAAAGTATCAGACCTAAAACCTCAGATGTGCTTTTAATAAAACATGAAGAACCATATATGTAAAAAAAAATGCATATATATAAAGTAAAAAGATGATAAGTCCTATGAAAAAAGAAAAGGTACAAAAAACGATTATATATTTTATTATTACATCAAGAAGATTCTCAGTTAACAGCACGCTGAGGAGTTCGAAATTCATTACAGAGAAAGAATATACCGTATTTAAAAGCAAGTATATAACAAGTGAAATGTTTGTTGATATGTCGAAATTTCCGCACGTGTTAAGTTCTCGTAGTAATACATTAGTGATAAAATTTTCTTCCTCCATTATATTGCTAATATGAGAGAAATTTGTGTCAAAAAAAATAGCACATGATTTAATCTTATCATAATAAGATGTCTAGCAATTTTGCAATTAGAAAGTTGTGAAGGATCGGTTTCGAAATTTTGTGACATACTTTAATTGTTACTTTCACGAAAATTTTTATTTTAGATTTATATTACATTTTATACATTTAAAGTTACACATAAAAGTATATCATATATTAATGGTAGAAGATTGTGATACATGTAAAAAAAAGAAATCTAAATGCGAAGGACGAAGAATAAAAAATCTTAAACATATCAATATTCTCTTGAACAGTAGAAAATACCATAATTTCACAAACAAGGAAATCCAACGTAATTTAGAATGCTGGTAGTACAGAATATCAGATGAAAATGAGCCGTTTCAAGAATAGTGTGATAAATGTATTGGAAGAGGCATAAAATGTAATTGGTGTGAACTTTGTAAAAGAAAAATCAATTTTTTAGAAGTAGTTAAATTCTATAACTATTTGAAAAGATTCTGTTATGATAAAGGTGTGTTTAATAAAAAAAGCATTCCAATATATTTTTTTATTTTGTTAAGCATAAAGAATTGGCCAGGGAATTGTATAATAGCGAAATCTTAGAAAGATGCAAATACTTTATATTTTAATTTTTCCAGTATCTCGTATATATTATAAACAAAAATATGTGATTAACTTAAAAAAAATAAAATATTTATTCACAAGTGTCTATTTATGAGGTTACCCAGTAAACATTCATTGTAATTGGTCATATTTTGTTGATCAGCTCATGATTTAATTGGCCGATCGGCCAATCAAATTGTGTGATGATCGTTATTAAATAATTTTTTACTCGTATTTTAAGAATAAAATGTCAATAAAAAAACTGAAGAAGAGCGAATTTATCAAAGAAGGAATATAGACTTATGAGTGTTGCTAATTTGCCTCCTGGTGACGATAACCTTACAGGAGCTTGTGTAACAAAATAAAGAAATTTAAGAAAATTTAGAAAAAAATCAATTATAAAAACTAGATTCTAACCCTAATCTTTAAAAAACAATTATTTATATAAAAACTTCTATAAAAATAAAGGGTAGTTAAAATTTATAATTTTAACCAGTGGTTAAAAATAGTTAAATTCAATAATTATTGCCAATTATTTTGTTCAAATAATTTATTTAATTCATAACAAAATTGGTATGCAAAACCTGTAATTAACCCTGGCTGCACAATATATGATACCTGTCTTCTGATTGGTCAATCACTTACAATTGTATTTATTAAAGCACTTTTTAAAGGATGTAACGACATTTTACAAGTAAAAAATTAAACCATATCTCTCTTCGAAGAAGCACCAATAGTTCTATGCAAAATAATCCTATACCTAGCTATACCTAGAGGTACCTTATCTACAGTATATATATTGTAACTATGATATTTGTATAATGCAGCTTTCAATTATAAAATGTATTTCATTTTTAATGCTTGATATAGAATATTGAATATCAAGATTTTTTTAAGTTCAAAATTACACAAATTTTCATTTTATTATTTTATTTGGTTTGTTTACATGATTTATGGCTAATTCACAAATAATTGATAATATACATATATTAAACAATTTTAAAAATAATAAATATCTCTAATGATTTTCTAGATCTTGAAGAATAAATGAATCACTAATTGCATCGAATACTATTTTTTTATCTTTGTTTTGTTGATTTGAAAGAATCAAATCAATTATATCTTGTTTTACAATCGATGTAACAGATTTATCAAACTTAATGAATTCTTTATCATCATCAAATAAAAAAACACAGTCTACATAGTCTTCCAATTTAGAATTGACATTCTTTGGATCGTTTTTATTCCAATGTATTTGAACACATAAATTAAAATTACAATTTTTCAACCAAGCTGGTCTGTGAAGACGCTGAATCAATAGTTTTTCTGTGGTATCTGATGGATTTGGCTCGTAACATATGAAATAACTATATTTTGGTTCATATTTTGCCAGATTATGAGCATCTGGAAAGAAATTTAAAATAAGTTTTTTGAAAACAATGTTTGTTGGTTCCTTCTCATAGTTTTCAGGATATTCACGTTTAAAAGTACAATAGAACACTGAATCAGATTTAAATTTTTTATTAGGTTTATGATCAGATGGATTAGCTTGGATTCCTTTTCTTTTGTTTATGTTTATTGATAGAAGGACTGATGGAAGGTCATTACCTTCACAATGTGTTTTTTTTTGTTGTGGGTATTTTTTGTCTTTATGCTGGATTTCATGGTGTTTAAATAAAATATAACGCATGATACAAAGGGCCGAAATTGGGCTACCAGACTCTAGTTTTCTGCTTCAAAAGGAATGGGCGCAAGTTGTAATATTTTTAATTATAGTACAAAAAATTAACCATTCGGACAAAGTCCTTTTTTCCTTATAAAGAACTAGCATGATGTTTGTAAAAAGAAGTTTTTTTGTAAAGAATCTAGTTTGATGCTGTTGAATCAGTTTGATGCAGTTTGATGCAGTGAAACTTTAAGCCGTGAGTAAATAAGCACCAATTAAAAAATAATAAATCGAAAATTTCTTTGTAAAAAATCTAGTTTGATGCAGTGAAACTTTAAGCCGTAAGTAAATTTGCACCAATTACAAATTATAAACTATTGATGCTGTGAAAATTTAAACCATGAGTAAAAATAAGCACTGATTGACCAAAAGTTTCTTTGTAAAGAATCTAGAATGATGCAGGAAAACTTTAAGCCATGAGTAAATAAGCGCCAATTAAAAAATGATAAACCAAAAGTTTCTTTGTAAAGAATCTAGTTTGATGCTGTGAAACTTTAAGCCGTGAGTAAATAAGCGCCAATTAAAAAATGATAAACCAAAAGTTTCTTTATAAAGAATCTAGTTTGATGCTGTGAAACTTTAAGCCGTGAGTAAATAAACACAAATTAAAAAATGATAAACCAAAAGTTTCTTTGTAAAGAATCTAGTTTGATGCTGTAAAACTTTAAGCCGTGAGTAAATAGATATCAATTAAAACATGATAAACTAAAAGTTTCTTTGTAAAGAATCTAGTTTGATGCTGTTGATGTAGTGAAACTTTAAGCCATGAGTAAATTAGCACCAATTACAAAATGATAAACTATTGATGCTGTGAAAATTTAAACTATGAGTAAAAATAAGCACTAACTAATCAAAAGTTTCTTTGTAAAGAATCTAGTTTGATGCTGTGAAACTTTAAGCCGTGAGTAAATAAGCGCCAATTAAAAAATAATAAACCAAAAATTTCTTTGTAGAAAATCTAGTTTGATGCAATGAAACTTTAAGCCGTGAGTAAATTAGCACCAATTACAAAATAATAAACTATTGATGTTGTGAAAATTTAAACCATAAGTAAAAATAAGCACTGATTGACCAAAAGTTTCTTTGTAACAACTTATTATTACCATTAAATATCGAGCAATGTGGTAAATCATATTTTTGTTTTGAAATTCTTATCAATTGACCTTTCCTTGGAATAAGAATATGATCAAACAATTTCCCACTATTCAACCCCACACAATCAATAACAATACCATCAAATGAATCTAATTCAAGTTTCTTGACCTCCTGCTTGATGAATGTAACATTTTTTTCTTTTAGATTGTTAAACAAGAATAGTAGATATTTTATTGGATCAATTGTGACACTGGAAAACTTATATCCACATATACATTTGTTGGGAAGCTCTGAACTTTCTACAAATTTTAGATCAGCAACAAAATCTTTAAACCATAAGTCTTGCAAACTTATTATTTTATTATTTTCAAAAAAACACTTATAATTTCCTTTTATATTTAAATAAGTTTAGTTATAACAAACTATTATATTTTTATTTGTAACAGATTGCTTAGTACAACTAATAATAACATATATAATCTAAAGTTTAAAACTAGCTAGCTGTAGAGTTGTATATAAATAGTTGTTACAACTATATTTTTTTCTTTATATTTATTATATAAAATATGTGTAATCTAAAACCTAAAACTAACTATTATTAGCTAGCTACAGAATTGTTACATATAAATAGTTGTTACAACTATATTTTTTTCTTATATTTATTATATAAAATATAAATATATACTGTATATAACAATATTAAATAATACTTTAGTTAAAAAGTTTTTTTATTAAATCAGTTTTTGATATTTTAATTCATTTGTAAAACTTAGATAAATAGGTTTTAAAAATTAAATTTGGATTTTTTTTTATAAAATATAAAAAAATTAATATTTCAATTTGATAAATTTTAAAATAATAAATGTTAAATAAAAATCCAAAGAAATTGTTAAAAGGCATGATATACTATATACACATTTGTATTTTATATTTCATACTGATTTGAATAATATATTATGTTGCTTTTAGATTTATAAATAATATGTTAATTTAGAAGTGACATAAAATATGTATCTTTTCATTAGAGATTTATATAATAAAAACTTAAACTCTAAACTGGTCTACCCCTAGCCCTATAAATCTATAAAATATCATTATCTTCTCGTTTTAATTTGTTTAATAATGCAATTGCTTTTTCATAATTAAGATTAGCAGCTAATTTCAAATACTCTAATCCAAGTTCCTTATTCATTTGTACTTTAAGTTTGCCATTTAAATAAATATCACCTAAGTAATACATTGCATCAACACTATGGTTATTAGCAGCTAATTTAAAATAATGTAGAATTTCATTACAATTTTTCTCTTTCTTAATTTCATTATCATCTTTTTTAAGATCAATAATCAATAAAATTGCATATCGACACTGTGCATCAGGATGATCATTGTCAGCAGCTTCTTTAAAAAGTTCCTTTGCCCTCTCCATATCTTTTTCAACAACACCATATCCATAATATAAATAATATCCTTGCCAATATTTTGCAATTACATTGCCTAGCTCTGCATTCTGTTTAAAGCATTTCCATGCATTAACATGATCTCTCACTTTATGAAGCCTTATCCCATCTTCAAGAGATGTGAAATAATTTAGGGGTTTGAACCCTAACTCTTTGGACGTTACACTGCTGTTTCCGGTCAAAAGTTCGAGTTCTAACGATGTTTCATCAAAATCTAATGATTTATCTTTTAATAATAATATAGGGTCTTTAAGAGGAATCGGGTAAGTTTCAACCAATTTTTCAAGGATTGATCGTAACTTTGGAAGAGATATTCTTTGATGTGGTACATGCGACCACGCTATTCACCAATTAAGCAAAATAAATAAAATAGTATGATTTATTAAAAAACTGATAATAAATTTAAACCCACCCTTTTCAATAATTTTAATAAATTCACTTTGAATGTTTTTGTCATTAGGCTTTTTAATCGAAAGTGTTTCTCTTTTACCGCTTAAAACATGGTCAGATATTTCTTTAATATCCCAGCATTCATAAGGTAACTTTTCATAGCAAAGTTCCCAAATAAGCATTCCGAAACTAATTACAAAGAATAATGATTAAGAAACTTTAATTCAAAAAATTATTAATATATTAAATAACAATTACCTAAACATTTCGCAGTTAAAAGTATATACATCATTAGTAAATTGCTTTTTAGGATTATTGATATATTTTTCAATTTGTTCAGGAGCCATAAAACGAATAATATTTGGTATAAAATTTGAAAGATTTCTGGTTCGTTCATCCGTTTTACGCGAAAATCGGAAATTTCCAAGTTTTGGAGCTAAATTGTGTAATATCTATAACAAGTAAATATTTAATATTATTAAATTATTACAATCTAATCTTATTTAATATTTAATTTAACTCTAATGAAGATTGTGATGGTAAACGGCCTGAAATGAGTGCTGCAGAGTAAAACCAGCAGACTTATGTATAAGTTTCGCTACATTAATACCTTAAATAATTACTTACAGGTTTTTACTCTGTAGCACTCAATGACCCAAGTGCCCCAATTATATTGGGCCATTTTAAAGCCTGAATGACTTAGGTCATTTTATATGTTAAATTAATTTTTATAAAGATATAATCGATGATCGTAGCTATATATTTGTGTCTTAGGTTATTTCAGAGTAATAAATTGCAAAAGTTTTCAGGTCATTTAAATTAATTTTTGTCAATTCATTTTCAAGTTTACACGAAAAATTTATTTAAAATTTGTAATATAAATTTAGAAAGAGAATTAATAAAAGTTATTCAAATTACATGATATATGCAATTTGTAATCCTGAAAACTTAAGGCACAAGTTTCGATTGACTTAGTAAAATTTTGACTTCTATATATATAGCTACGATTATCGATTAGGAAAGCAATAGAGTCCATTAACTTTTTATATTAAGTTAGTGTGGCATTAATTTGCTTAAATATACTTACAAAAACATTCTCACATCTAAGATCATGATGGAAAATGTTTACTCCTCGTAAAAATACAATACCATGACAGATATCTTGAAGTATCTGAATTTTTCTAGCCCAAGGAATGTCATAATTATTATAAAGTTCCTTTAAATTTCCATATTCGGCCCATTCAGAGACCATAACTTCACGACAATTGACATTTGAGAAACCATAGAAACGGAGTATATATGGTGATTGGCCTAATCTTTCAACAATTGCTAATTCACTTTCAATAAATTCAAGACTTTCGACGGGTTTACATGCAACTTTATCCATCATATAAAGCTTCTTGATGATACTACCACGAATACTGCTTGGAATATTAGGTTCATTTAGTTCCTCTGAGTTTATTCTTTTGGTTATATATATGTGTGATTGTGCCCACTTTTGTGACCGTATAATGTCCACTTGCTG